TGTCGTAACCCGAGCTGGTAACATATCAAGCGCTCACTCAATTAATTATAATTTCCTTTTGTGATATGTTTTGCGACTGTGATATAAGATAAATAGAAAAATCGGAAATTTCAGACACGGGATCATGAAATAAGCGCTTTATGATTTCACCACCATTTCCGTTCGTATTTTCGCGGAGTTGTTCGTTTTAAGTTAATAACAAATGGTTAAATAAAAATAAATAAATAAAAAAAACTAAACTAAACTAAACTAAAAGAAACAAAGCTTTACAGATTGATTCGGCAGGGTTTGACATGCACATATTGATGATTTTAGATTTGCATCTATAAGTAACTTTTAAAACCTCACAAGTTAACAAATTGAAAATTCAATTTTAATTTTTCATGTTCATTGCGCTTTCCCAGAAAAATGTATTCGCCTCAAATTGCGCTGTCAATTCTCCTCTGCGGTGAACGAGTTCTGACAGCTGATATCTTTTTTGTGTGATGTTATTTATATCAGTAGCCGATGATTTGCAGTTCATTATCAAGGAGGTGTGTTTTATATTGTACTAATGGGCGTGATATTTAAAGATATTTAAACAAACTATCAAAGCCTTTGTCTAAATTTTGATGTTTTGCTAATGATTTCCGCTGCCAGACCCACTCTATTATCTACCACGCTTCTTAATCTGTAATAAACGCCGTTTCCCGTTTTTGAGGTCCGATATCCCGGTTTTTGTTTATACTACACATCACTGGAATCCCCGACGTTTGTCAGAATTGACTGAGAGACAGTTTCGAGTACGTCTGCGTTGTAAGAAGCTTAGAAATGGATTATTCAAGCGGGGAAGAAACACTTGAAGTGCATTTCCTTGCCTTAAGAATTACTGGAATCTGATCGCAATGAAGCGATCTCGGCGTGGCTTTCTGGTACGAACGTTGTTAACTATATGTTCTTTGTCATTGTTTTGCTGTCTGGTTGTGATCTTGGAGACCGTACACGAGATTAACACTGACCGTCTTCTACGTGCTTCAGAAGTAAACAATCATTTTAGTGGTTTCCCTTCGGCGCTGGCTTCATACAACGTTCAAAACACGAAAGATGAAATATTACTGAATTTGCAATCTGAATTATTGTACCGGGAGCAAGGAAGAGCTCTTAAATCTTTTTCGAAGTTGAAACAATGGGAAGAATATCAAAATTCACCATTGTATAACACAACATTAGGGAAACTACCGTCATTATCAACTGGTCTTCTCGGTTGCAGCGAAATAAAAGCCATTAAAGTGGTGCGAAATATTGGTCGCGGCTACACCAAGACGGTGCAAAAAGGGCTCTACAGGGATGACGAAGTCGCTATAAAAAGCGTTCGCTTAGACAATGAGGATATTAAACGCTGTGTTTTACATCCTACGGGGAATAGAACTGTTGAGGAATGTTTTATTTTCGCAAAATACAAGTTGGCCAAGGAAATAATTATGCTTCAACAGTTGCGACATGCAAATATTGTGAAGGTAAGCTAAGTGCTGTGTCAGAATAATTGATTTGAGTTGCATCAGATGATAAAAATAACCATTGCCTTTTTCGTTGATCCTGGGTATTTTGGGCAATTTATGATTTTCTCTTTCCACAAGGCTAGCGAATGACTTCTTTAAAAAAAAACTTTGTCGCACCGTCGTAAAATTCAGACCATGTTCCTTGTGTAAATACAAATTGAGACGCCTGCTTGCTCGCGATATGTTTGTTACCATAATGGTCGTATCACTGATACGATAAGTCTTGTTATAGTTTTAAATATCATGACAGTATCAGAACTATCTCAACTAGAAGGAGCCATTTGAAAGTCCTGAAACATCTTGCCAACGACAGTGTTGTAAATAGCGGGAGAACAGAACGGAAAAAGGGAAGGGACAAATTACTCGAGGGCCTTTCACGTAACTTGAAATTGTAGAAATGCCCTCCACCAGTCATATTCATATCATATTCATATCACATGCTTGCAAGCTGATTATTGTAATCTTGAAGATGTGATTTCAATTATTGGAGGCAGGCCCAACGTTTTAAAGACTTAATTAACCTTTGGAGTGTTCTGTTCACCTTTTAATCCTCTTAGCCAACTAGCTAAAGAATTTGATACTTCGATTAAAAAAGGAAGATTCTTCTGTGAATAAATATTGAACGTTCTATAGAGGAATTGTGTTATGGTCAAGGGGAAACAAACATAATGTCAAAAAAAATTATTGAAGAATTTGAATTGAGACTTGAAAAGTCCGAAATCAAATTAATAAGTAAATCCACTAACTAATGGTAGTGGAACATAACTGAAATTTCTGGCCTGCACAGTTTTTCCTCGTATTTTGTGTGTTTAATTTTGTAACACCAAAGAGTTTGTAGACGAGAAATGACTCTAAACTTTATTAACAATTTCCTTATTTCTTTATTTTAGAATTACTTTCATGTACTTTTAGTACTAATTTTATTCCTAATGTTCCAGTTGTGTTTAATGTGAAATTTATTCATGGAGCGGTAGAGATAGCTCTTAAGCATAGAGGCTCTATAAAATAAGGCAATCTTCTTTGAGACTGTGACAATTTAGAGCACTAAAGTGATTGTGTGCACTGGTTTGTTTCGGGTCGGGATTATCCATCGGAACAGGAGGCATTTTTTGTGCGTGAGGTGAAAGTTGATTCAATGAAAGCTGGTTGACTAAAATAGTCTTTCAAGCACTCAGTAAACTCAGTAATGGTTGCAACAATACATTACAGAAAGACAACAACTTCTATTCGGTCCAGCTGCCCAGGACGTTTTTTTATCCGATGCAGGAAACAGAAATAGAAATAGAGCCCAAAAGTGGCCTTTTATATGGTTCATTTAGTGATTCTGAACTATAGTGGATATTAAATGGCGACATTCGATACGGACGTGTGTAAGCTTAAATGCCACCGCATCCAGAGATAAGAACGAATGCGAAATGCGAAGGTTAAGGACCATTTTAAAATGATGTCTAGTCTTGGTGATTTTTTATCTATTTTTTTTTTTATTTTTCTATTTTTTATGTTTTGGAATGGGATGTAAGTCAGGAGAGAAATAAAACAGGAACAAATCAATTCCACCAAATGAATCAGGCTGACAGGAGAGGCTTATTTTAATGCCCATGTATTAGTTACTGTTATGTACACTACAGACACTACCCCATGTTGTCAACTTTACGTGCTTTTTTT